GAATAAGTCACGCGGACCAATCAATTCCAAGACTTTGCATTCGTTCCTGATACCTACCTTTTAAAGTATTGTTCGGGGTGCTACACAAGGTCACGATGAAGGATAACCCAATCATATTCTAAGAATCGCACACACCATTTAACTCTTAAGTAAACCATACCCTATGTATTTCATACACGTTCCTGGTATATGTTTAAGATAATCTCACTAAATCATTACATTGTTGTTAAATAACATTTCGCTTGAATTCTTATTTAGTTTACTTATTTAGTAAATTAGTTCTCAGTGGCTTCACCATACTAGTTGGCTAAAATTAAAGATCTACATTTCGCATGAACTTCAGCAAAATTTCTTTAAGGATTACTACAATTAATTATAGTGCTTGTGCACGATATCGTTTACTAGCTGATCACATCGAAGGAAGTGTTGAAAGTACCCTCAATTAACAAATAATCTAGTTAAATTTAAGTTTAATAACAGCAAATAATGGGTGTTCTTAAGCCTCATTCTCGATGTGATTAATTATATTATATAATTTTTGTTTACAATTCGAATAAGCACGTAATAATGCTCATTTAATAAAATTAATCAAAATAAAAATTACAATTGATATTTGAGTGACTTTTATTATTCTTACTGTATTTATCAAATGTCATCAAAAATTAATAAACAAAAAAACAAAGGAAAAAAGAAAGCTATCTAACAAGTAACGAATGTAATAATCATCAAAAACAAGCTAATGAAGTAACAACTTCGACTGTTCCAATTTTTCAATTTACCAATTTTACTATTTCATATTTAATTTGCTAACATCTAAATATAATATAAATTCTATCTCTAAAATCAATGAATTTGTTGCGTTACAAGCTTGTCAAATTTTAGAAACACAATAATTTCTTTAATACTCATATTACAATCTGAACTGTGAACAAATTAATTTTCTCAATAACACAGTAAATAAATTTTTAGTTATATTGTAAGACTGATAAATGTTAATTTGTTATCAAAATCACACGAAGGAGATGGATCAGTAGTCTCCACCTCATCATCAGATTCTGCTCTCTAATTATCCTGGAATATGTAAGATAATGACACTTAATCATAATTATATAACTCAGAACAAAAACATAAATTTTCAATACTTACAAAGTTGTCAGCATTTTCAAGCCAATCACTGGCTGATTGGCCAATTTTCTCAATTTCCTAACTATTTGAATTTTTATCTTCTGTAGTTTCTGATTTACGCTTTCCAGTCTTTGTTTTGCAAGATAGATATTATATTTAATATAAAGTACTGGATGTATCATAAATTAATTGTTCTTGAAGTTAAAAGTACTCTTAAGACTTACATTTTCTGCTTTATCTATTACCATCAATTCTTGTGTCTTATTATTTATAATGATAATGCATCGTTTCTGTACAAGTATTTTATTCAGTAAAAACTCAAGAAGTTATTCAACCAAGAATATATTTACAGTTTGTAAAGATCTTTCTGAATCTAGAAATAGCCATTCGATTTTGTTTCAGAACTGATTGATATCAACATTATTAAAACGATGTTTCTAGCAATAATAATAATGATAAAAGTGTTAATATATCTATCTGTCACAAGATGCTCATGTGAAAAAATATTTAGATGCTTAATTATTTTAATTTTGTCACAGATCACAACAGACAAAAAGACCATAAAGCGAGAAACAAGAAGATTTCTACCGTAGTTGTGTGAGTTCAACCCCTTCTCAGGACTACTGGAGGTCCCCTATACTGCTTCTGGCAGACCACAACGGACAAGAAGACCATAAAGTGGGAAACAAGAAGATTTCCATTGTAGTTGTATGAGTTTTATCTTTTCTTGGGACTACTGAGGGTCCACCATACTGCATTCAGATTAAATTTAAAAATACTTTCTTCAAAGCTTTGATTTAACCATGTAGCACCTTTCTTGAGGTTTTCTGAGCAACCCTTCTTGATCAATAAATCCAAACTCTTTCGAAGTATATCTGCCTCTTTCTGAAAAGAGAATGTAAAATTCAGTTGATTTTTGTGATGTTTGTAAAAGTCTATAAAGGAGTACATTTCAGGTGACATTTTACCAAAAATAGTTATTTTACATGCAATACTTGATCAGTCCGCTAGTAAATAGTAATTTTCGTAATGTACTGTACCTAGAAATTTAATCGGAAATCATCCCGGATCGACCCTAAAGAAAATCATAATTCTGGTCAAACTTGCAGATCATTTGACCACATTTAAAGTTGTTTTGTTCTAGCTCTGGCCAAATGATCTGCAAATTTGACCAGAATTATTGACGATGAGTTCCTCTATTTACCATAAGTAACTGCGCAATGCAGTTGCGCAAAACCAGGAACGGGAAAAATCTATGCAAACACCATTTCAGTCACGGGAAACCATACAATCCATTCCTGGCATAAGAAAATAACTCTTTATAAAAGAAGTTGATAGTACTTGCAATCTGAATATTGGTTTGAATTTCAGTGACTGAGCCTAAAAACCTA